CCGAATTTCTGAATTTCTGAATTTCTGAATTTCTGAATTTCTGAATTTCTGAATTTCTGAATTTCTGAAAATTTGAATTTCTGAATTTCTGAATTTCTGAATTTCTGAATTTCTGAATTTCTGAATTTCTGAATTTCTGAATTTCTGAATTTCTGAATTTCTGAATTTCTGAATTTCTGAATTTCTGAATTTCTGAATTTCTGAAAATGTGAATTTCTGAATTTCTGAATTTCTGAATTTCTGAATTTCTGAATTTCTGAATTTCTGAATTTCTGAATTTCTGAATTTCTGAATCTCTGAATTTTTGAATTTCTGAATTTCTGAAAATCTGAATTTCTGAATTTCTGAACTTCTGAATTTCTGAATTTCTAAATTTCTGAATTTCTGAATTTCTGAATTTCTGAATTTCTGAATTTCTGAATTTCTGAATTTCTGAATTTCTGAATTTCTGAATTTCTGAATCTCTGAATTTCTGAATCTCTGAATTACTGAATTTCTGAATCTCTGAATTTCTGAACTTCTGAATATCTGAATTTCTGAATTTCTGAATTTCTGAATTTCTGAATTTCTGAATCTCTGAATTTCTGAATTTCTGCATTTCTGAAAATTTGAATTTCTGAAAATCTGAATTTCTGCATTTCTGAATTTCTGAATTTCTGAATGTCTGAATTGCCGAATTTCTGACTTTCTGCATTTCTGAATTTCTGAATTTCTGAATTTCTGAATTTCTGAATCTCTGAATTTCTGAATTTCTGAATTTCTGAATTTCTGAATTCCTGAATTTCTGAATTTCTGAAAATTTGAATTTCTGAATTTCTGAATCTCTGAATTTCTGAATTTCTGAATCCCTCAATTTCTGAATTCCTGAATTACTGAATCTCTGAATTTCTGAATTTCTGAATATCTGAATCTCTGAAAATCTGAATTTCTGAACTTCTGAATTTCTGAATTTCTGAATTTCTGAATTTCTGAATTTCTGAATTTCTGAATTACTGAATTCCTGAATTTCTGAATTTCTGAATTTCTGAATTTCTGAATTTCTGAATTTCTGAATTTCTGAATTTCTGAATTTCTGAATTTCTGAATTTCTGAATTTCTGAAAATTTGAATTTCTGAATTTCTGAATTTCTGAATTTCTGAATTTCTGAATTTCTGAATTTCTGAATTTCTGAATTTCTGAATTTCTGAATTTCTGAATTTCTGAATTTCTGAATTTCTGAATTTCTGAATTTCTGAATTTCTGAATTTCTGAATTTCTGAATTTCTGAATTTCTGAACTTCTGAATTTCTGAATTTCTAAATTTCTGAATTTCTGAATAATTTGAATTTCTGAAAATTTGAAATTCCCAGTTTCCGAATTCCCGAATTTCTCAATTTCTCAATTTTCAGAATCTCAAAAGAAAGTTTTTAAAAAGAAGTGTCTATGAATATGGTCTCTGACATCCAACTCTCGGGCGTTTTCTTTTTTCTGACTTCCGAGTTCCTACTTCCGAACTCCGAAAATTCAATTTTAAATCAACTATCCCGAATGTCTTGTTTTTTCAATCTGAATTCTTTTTAAATTCACCGTTAATGCGCCGTTTCTCGACAATCCCAACACATCCACAGACCGTAAACATTCTATTAGAATTCCACCCAAACCGTCAACTTTGAGCTCATACATCTCGGTTCCTATGAATGATATCAATAAATAGTCAACTAAAAAAATGTTCATCATAATTTCAAATACATTTTGTTAGTTGAACTCTTTTTTATATCTTCTTCAGGAAGTGAGTTATATGGGGCCAAAGTTAAATATTTGGGTGGCACTCTGTTAGGGTGTTTACGGTAACTCGACTTTTTTCAGTTTATTTCATCTTCATCTTCTGTTATCGTCATGTGTGCCAAGGAATCAGCCAGAGCCGTTGCCAAAACAGTGGCCAAGTCTGTGGCCAAGAGCATCGCGAAGTCGGTCGCCAGGACCGTCGCTCGGACTGTCGCTCGGAATGTCGCTCGGACTGTCGCTCGGACTGTAGCTCGGACCGTAGCCAAAACCGCTGCCAAGACCGTCGCTCGGATTGTCCGACGACGAGATTGGAGAAATCCGCAGTAAGTAATCATAACAAAACAAACCGTACCGTAAAACTTGTATTAGAAGGGCCCAGTGTAAAAATGGACACCCTTCAAAATGCGTTTTGAAATTAAAAAATTTCTGTGATTTTTCAGTGAAAAATATTTCGGGAATTTCTCAATTTAAAAGAAAATTGTTTTTTAAAGCACTTTTTTGATTAAAAAGTGCTAGTTTTGATGAAGTTAATAGCTTTTCATGAATTTTGAGCGAGACTTCGTCGAATTTTTCGATTAAAAATTTGGAAAAATGTAGCCGGAAAAATAGAAGGGCCCTCCGGAGGTACCTCGGTACAATAGAAGTGCCGGCTTTTCTAATACCAGTTTTATAGTATATTTAAAAAAAAACGTAATTTCAGAACGGAACGCCGCGCTGATCATCTTCGATCGGAGCAAATACACAAGTGCTCCTCTGAAGCGGAAATTGATGGCGGATGGGACCTGGAAGACGCTTCCGTGGGTGAAGCCCGATGGCTATGTCGACATTTACAGCTCCTCTCCAAGTCAGCGTTTGTCGAGCCACCCGTATGCCAGTAACTGAATACGTTGTAATCATATAAATTACATTTCACAAAATTTATTCTTCTCAAAAGTTTTCGGTTTTTCTAATGTCCCCAAAATCCCCAGATTTTTCACATAACCCTTGCTGGTCGAATTGTGTATTTTCAAATTGTTTTGAAAACTACATGTTCATAATAAATAGATTCTGGGATTAATTTGTTTTCGAAAGATAAAATATCAAAAAAAGATTTTTTAGAGCTCAGAAATCTGTGTTCAGAAAAAATTCTGAGTTCAGAAAAAAGTTCACAGTTCAGAAATCTTTTAGTAAGTGCTACCGTTTTTGACAGATTTGTCGCTCTTTCTGCTTGCTTTGTCAGCTACAGTAATGCCAGAAAAGCTTAAAATCGACGACTTTCTCCATTTTTCTGTTGTTTTGTCTGAAATCAATTGACGATGTTTGTTCTTTGACCTTTTTCGAAATCAGTTAGTGGTTTTTTACGTCACATCGTTTGAACAGTCGAAGGGAATACAAAAAGTTTAAAATTTAAGAGTATGGTGCTGAAACATGGGAAAAATGGGGGTGAACGTATATTTATATGGAACCGCAAAAGTCAAAAAATTGAAAAAATGAAAATAAAAATATTGCTCATTCTTATTTGAAATTTGCTCTGGGTCCCAGAAATCTTTCGTATCGTACTCTTTTTAACCTCCGGTCGATATTTTTTAGAAACTGCAAATTTGGGTTTTTCGCCATTTTTCATGGGTGAACGTATATTGTGAAGCAGTATAGTACAATATCTTTTTTCACAATTTATGCTGTTCCAACTCTCGGGTGCGATTCTCTGAAAAAAGAACTCAATGAGGTTATACAAGATACAATCTTATGGATTTTCTGCTTTCTGCTGGTACTGTAGTACTTTTTCATGCGTTCGGAAAAAAATCTGTAGATGAACCCCAGTAGGATTTGCTGGATGACCTCACTTCTTCTGATGTAGTTCACCTCAGTTGTTGTTGATTTTTGTAAAATGCAGAAGAGAACTCTATTAATAAAGTTTCTTTAATTTTGTAGTCTCTTCCATATTTTTGACTTCGAGGACAACATGTTATCTTGTGTGTTTAGTTCTCTTAATTACTGTATTATTTTGCAGTAAGTAGAAATCCGCTCTCAACGGCTACAGTAGCCCAACACAAAGCAACACATCTGATACCGCATTCCGTCAGAAAACGACATTTGACGTATTTGTATTAGAAAGGCCTACCCTTCTATTTTTCTCGGGCACCTCCGGAGGGCCCTTCTATTACAGTGGCCTTTCAATAAGAGGGGGCTCTTCTATTTGTCCGACCATTTTTCCCAGAAATTTTTCATTGAAAAATTCGACAAATTTTCGTTTAAAATTCGTGAAAATCTGTCAAATTCTTCAAAATTGATCAATTTCCAATCAAAAAATAGTGTTTCAACAAATTTATGTAAAATTTCGGAATTTCCGGAAAATTTTTCACTGAAAACGTACTAAAATTTTGTAATTTCAAGACATATTTTAGAGGGGGATCCTTCTTCACAGGGGCCCTTCTATTACGGAGGCCCTTCTATTAAAGGGGCCCTTCTAATACAGGTTTGACGGTGACTTATGAAGAAATGAAAACCAAAGAGTTTTTTTCCTCCATTCTTTTTCTGTAACTTCTGAGAATTTATACGGGCCAGCTCAAATTGATTAACTGAACAGTGAGATACATGATTTATATTTTTGGAAAAAAAAGGAGAATAAGAAAGAGGAAAATATAACCGCAGAAAGCTTTTCCCTCTCTTCATGTTTGATCTTATTCTTTTTGCTCTTCTTTTCTCCGGGGCGAGAACAACAGCGCTCTATTGAAACGGAAATCAACGTGGCTGAATTTAGGCAATAAAAACCAGCTAGTTTATCTTGAGTCTTTTTTTTTCACTGAAACTTTGTATTTGATACAAAATATTCTTTTTAACTTGATTGTTCAAAAATCCAAAGCTTTTAATGGAAGTAAGATTGTTAGAATAGTGACAACCTTTTTTTGGCCCACTTAAGTCTAATCCAAGGTTAATTGGTTCGAGAGATGCATAAGGAAGATGAAGAAGACATCATATCTGACTGGTGAGACTCAGACGGAAATGACATGCAAGGGAAAGTCGCATTTGTGTGTCGGGAGTGTTGGTTGTCCGTATGCATGTCTCTCTCTCTGTTCCTTATTTGCATATTTGAGTTTCTCTCTGCGTTCAAACACTCAAACACAAACCAAAAAATGTTTATGCATCTTTTTTCCTGTTTTTCAGTATTTTTTTCAGTTTTTTTTCAGTTTTTCAGTATTTCCCCCTCCACCCACAACTCTGGAAAGCATAACCTTTTCAATTTTCTATCAACTTTTGAATCCATAGACGACTTAATTTCATTCTCAAAGCAATAAAAGTGTTCAGGGTCAGTAGAGAGTATTGCGAAGGAAGAGGCGGAAAAGAGAGAAACACAGTAAGAGAAATAGTGTGTCGGTAGTATGATACGCGGTGGATGAAGAGGAAAAAAGACTTCTCCTGCTAGTAGTGTGTGTTTTGACGGCTAGTGTGTGTATGTGTGTGTGTGCGTGTTCCTGTGTGTGCGTGTTCCTGTGTGAGGTGAACCGCTGCTCTACTTCTCTCTTTTCATTTTTTTACACGGTCGTGTGGCCTAAAACGCTCTATATATGACCGGAAACTTTCAAATATTTAGGTTTCTGAATTACACCGAAACCCAAATTTTTATTTAAATATGGTCGAAGATCTTTTAGTGGGTTTTAAGAGATTTTGATTTTAAATTGATTCAGCTAGGACATCTAAGTCTCTCGTTATTATATGATCATAAAAAGTTTTTGTTAACTTTGATTTTTGAAAGCGATTTTGTCTGAAAAATGTGATTTTTAAAGATTTTTTTCTCTAATTCTCTTCTTCATTTATCGTTTACGCACCCTGCCTTGTTCTTTTTGCCAATTGAAAAACTACGGTGAGAGGGTGACCCATTAGAAATAATCACAGCTTTTTTATTGATTTTCGCTCATTTTGACCATTTTTAAGGGTCCAGAGCTTGGCTGTCAAATTTCCTATCAATTCCAAAACTTAAGACGATGTCAACCAAATCTGAATCGAAAACTTTGCATCCACATAGATTTTGAGAATTCCTAGTTTTTCAGCTATTTGCCGATTCACGAAAAACATCCCTTTTTCCTCCGTTGTTGTTATGGAAACGTGAAAAAGAGGTGTCTTTCAGAAATTGGCTGACTGAAAAGTTAGGAATCAGCAATAAAACTTGTATGAATGCGGAGTTTTCAATCTAGGTTTGTTTTACCCTTTCCAGAATTTCAAACGTAGTCGGAAACTTGACAGCGGAGCTCTAACCTCTGAAAGTGGTCAAAATGACAGAAAATTAACAGAAAATTATGTTTTTGTGTGTCTTATGACCGGCACTATGTATATTTACCGTAAAAACGCTATTAGATAGCCAAGTTACTCTGTAGTTCGGCGGTGGTCTGGGGTGGCAATGCATTAGGGGCTGGCACTTTATTGTTCGGCGCCAATTTTTTTATGAAATTCATCAAAAACGTTCTTTATTTTCAACTTTTCCATGAAACCACTTTCGAGTTTTTCATGATTGTTCCAATTTTTTAGGAGTCTGATATCAACTTGAACTTTTAAAAACAAATACAGTATCTCCTTTGAGATTGGATAACGCATGAAAACAAGAAAACTTTTTTTTGTCTTATTGACTTCATTAGCTTTTACCACAGTGGCATCATCAGTGGCATTATATTAGGGACTGGCATTCAATTCGGGGGTGACTATCTGATAGAGTTTTCACGGTAACTTCTTTCCGAGAGGAATTTTTAGTATATCGATTTGGCTCTTCCGGATAGTTGATAACACGTTTCCTATGTACTTTTGCAATTTTCCTATATAATAATTTTGCCGGGTATTTTTTTGCTTTTTTCTATCTTCCTTTCATCCTTTTACATTGTGCTTGTATCTCATTTCTCTTTTTTATACTTTTAATCTCTTCTCCCTTTACCGCTGTTGCATAGTTTTCTGACTTCGAACTCAATTCTATGTTCTTGCAGTCTTTCTCATCTTCATCATCTTCATCGCTCGTCGTCATCATGCCAAAGCCATCGTTCAAAGTCGTGGGACACGAGATCGCCAACTGTCAAAGCGTCGAGGCTCCACTCTTCCAAATCGAAATTGGAGGAAAAATTTTGAAAAAGTGGGAGCACGAAATGACGGTATGTTTTAATTTTTAAATTCCAAGATTTAAGTCGAGAATCCTGAAAAAGATGGTCAAACTTAAACAAAGACTAGTCTGTGATTGAAAATAGAAAATTTTTAAAAATAACGAGCCGAACATAATTCAATCTCACACTGATTTTTGAAATTTTCTAATCAGTCTTTTATTCAACAAATGTTCGGACTTCCGTTGTCATCGCTCCTAATGCTAATTGTTCAAAAATTATTATTTGATTGTTAATCAGCTTCATATAATTGCTTTACAGTATGATCAACGTCAAATTCTGGAGGCCTATCGCCAAGAGAATTGCCAAGAGGCGTATGACGGAGAAGCCGATTTTAATATAGACACAATCTATGCCCATAGATATGTCAAAGGAGTCAAATGGTTCCTCATATCCTTCGAAGGATTCGGAGAGCCTTTCTGGCGATATTGGAAAGCCGAATTTGAGTTGGGGGTTGGTATCTTGAGGAGCAAGCTAGTAAACTAAATTCGAAATTTCAGGACTGTCGCCCACTCATTCAAAAGTACGAGAGGAAAATTGAGAGAACCAGAGGCCGTCGTGCTCGCTCCTCGACCATTCGATCGACGCCAACGAGTCGCCGCTCGGAAAGCCGCGGCACGGCAATCCGCCGCTCGAGCTCCTCCGAGGAAGACATCGAGATGTCGGACCAAGAAGTGGAGTTGACGGACAAAGAAGTTCGCAAGATTCGCAGTAAGTATTCATTTTAAAAGTACAGTATATTTAAAAACAACGTTCTTTCAGAAAGAAACTCTTCACTCTTTGTCTATGATAGGAGCAGATTCACAAGTGCTCCATTGAAGAGGATGAGAATGGCAGATGGAAGCTGGAAGACGCTCCCATGGGAGAAGCCTGAGGGCTGGGTGGACATCCCGCTCAAATATTGGAGAGTGTAAAACCGATGTGAGAGTTCAAATGTTCTTTTTATTCCATACCCCCCCCCCCAAACTGATGATTTTAAACCCCTCAATTTCTTTGTACCGAATGACCCCAAAACTTTTGTACTTTTGGAACTATGTGGAAATTCATTTTCTCTCTCTCTCCCTCTCTCTCTCTCTCTCTCTCTCTCTCTCTCTCTCTCTCTCTCTCTCTTTCTCTCTCATCCAAAGTTTTTTCGTTGCTGTTCTCATTCTCGAGCTTTTTTGGTCTGTCTTAATTCTTTCTTGCTTTATTGCGACGATGTTGAACTTGCGCTGATTCAATAAACGAATGAGTAAATAGCATTTTTCTGTTTTTCAAAAAAGATAATCAAAAACAAAAGATATGAAAATAGCTCAACTTAGAAAGGCCTGACCTTTTATTGTTTCGAAGTACATCCGGGGAGTCTTTTTGTTATTAGGTTGGAAGGAAAGTTACTGTCAATTTTTTAATTTGTGAATATCACAAAAAACAAGATTAATCCAAGATTGACAGTATACACCGTCACATGTTGAAAACATTCGGGCAGTTGCCCAGGCGAGCTACCCCCAAACCCTTTCTGCAGTTCCCTGTGCGCTTGCAACGATGCTCCGCTGTTCGGCTGACGACAAGCGCGCCAACCGGGTTTGTTTGAATTAGAGTTAGTTTTTGAACAGCTAATTGTGTCAGTTTTGACGATTTAAGTCAGTTTAGAGTTTTGTCTAAAGTATCTTTTGGTGATATTGTTGTTCTTTATTAATTATACGGAATAATAAATATTATTTTTGTATAAAACCGTGTTTTTCTTTGTATTTTGTGTCTGGACCTTAATACCCCGATTAATCGGAGAGTTTTCTCGTTTTGTAGGGTGTCGCAATAATTTCTCCGAGTTTGAAGGAACCGGCAGAAAATTATTGTGAAATTGATCAACGGAGCAGGTGAAGGCCTATCGGAAAGACAGCAAAAAAGAACGCCGAAAAAACATTCTTTGGAAGTAAAGTGTGTCTTTAGGAATGTCACAACAGTCAAAGAAGAACGCGGAGCATATGGAGTGGGAACAACAGGAGGGAGACGGAGGAAGCAACGGTGGAAGCAAAGGAATCGCTGAAGAAGAAGGAAAGTGGGGAGGCGTGCTGGAACCGGAAAACAGGATGTGCTGGAATCGGCGGAAAAGTCGAGGAAAAGTGCTGCAACTCTGGGAGATGGGAACTCGACGCAGGTATCACTCAGAGAGAGAAAAAGGCTAGTGTTAGCGTTCGCGGAGTTTGTCGATACGGGTGAGAAGTTGATGGAAGACATGCGGGATCAGATATACAGATATACGAAAGTAACTGCGCGTGTGAGAGACGTGGTTCGGTGCAACAGTTCGTGGAACAACTGGCGAAGCGGCACAGAGAGCTAGTCAGTGGGAAATGGGAGAGAATAGTGATGAGAATGATGAGGGATCACGGAATTGAAAATTTCAGCGAGTTGCAGGCAGCTATTAGTGGCGCGGGTCGCATAGAACGAGTAGCAGATGAGGAAGTGCAGAAAAGTGATAATGAGTGGAAATTGTTGCAGGAAAGTTGGGAGCTCCAAAACGACGAGTTGAGACAACAATTGGAGAAGGCCAGAGCCGAAGCAGAAGACTTGCAACTACAATTGGATGCAGTTCAAATAGAGAAAGAAGGGTGTGAGAAGGAAGTGGAAAGACTGGAAAGAGCATGGAAGCTGGAGAGGAAAACGGCGAAGGAACTGCGACAAATGATGGAGCAGTCAACAGGTAACGAAAAAAGAGACCAGGAAAGAAGTTACGTGTTGATTCAGGAGCGTTACAGGAGGCCCGGAACACAATCGGTCGATTCGAGAGGATCATCGAGTGCATGGGCAGAGCCAGAGAGCCAAAAGAGAGGTGAGGCGAAGGGAAACGGAGATATGGGAAGAAAGAAAACAGAAAGTGAAGATGGCTGGCGGAAAAAAGTAGAAGACTGGGATTTCACAAGCGGCGATTACGTTGGTATGCCTAGAGACAGTATGGGAAGAGAGCGCGAGAGTGTGAAGCTGAAAGAGACAAGCGATGTAAAGAAAGGGAAGAGTGAAACGGGCTCCAGTGTGTCGAAGGGAAGTAGCTCAAAGATGATACAGTGCCTGAATAAGCTAATGAGAGCGAACGTGTTGCCAGAGCCAGCGGTGTTTGATGGGAAAGGAGAGTTCAAACGGTCGTTTTTGTTGAAATATCGGCACGTGACTGAAAGGGATGAAGATTTGGTGGCAATATTGGAAGATAAGTTTCTGAAAGTGGCAGCGAGAACACTTTTTAAGTCGCTTCCAAAAAGATTCGAGCGTCCAATTGAAGAACAAGATTAATCCAAGATTAACAGTATGCACCGTCACATGTTGAAAACATTCGGGCAACTTATTGATACGATCCCCCGAAAGCCAGCTAGAATCAAAGCATTACTATAGTGCTAATTTTATCTCATTGGACGTGTGAAATTACTTTCCCTCCTGGTGGCGTTGCATATCTCGGAATGGCCAAAAATAATAGTGCCAAATCAGGAGTTGGAGGGGCATCAAGGAGAACAGTTCAGTTAGAGCGGCCCAGGTGTTACTTGACTTTTTGTGGAACATCGGATTTCGCGTTACGGAAGGAAAGTCAATTCAGTCCTATGCCGCTTTGACTGGATAGCGCTCCATGTTCTTTGAACTCATGACTTTGCCCTTTCATTATTGGTTATCCGGAGATATGCAGCGCCGCCTGGAGGTAAAATAATTTCAAACTGTCGATAAGATTAAAACCGTACTAAAGGAATATTTTGTATCGCGGCCATCTGGCTTTTGGAGAGATCGTATCCCCAAGTTACTTGAATGTTGACAACATGTTGTGGATCACGACGGTGCATACTGTCAATCTTGGATGAATTCTGTTTTCGTGTTATTCACGAAGTAAAAAAATGCACAGTTACTTTCCTTCCAACCTAATAATTTCAATCAGAGGGTGATTTTCTGTTTCTCCAGACACTATTTCCAATATTCCTAATTTAAAAAATTGATGAATTTTCGTTCAAAATCAATTGAAATATATCAATTTTAGCTTAATTTCCTCAAAAATTAGCGTTTCAACGAAATTCTGGAATATTTTTCCGCCCCCCCCCCCTCTTCCCTTAAATAGCGTAGCGACAGTTTGCGTCAAAATCGAGTTTTGACTAATGAAAGAAAAATTTTGAAGAATCGAAAAACAAGTTATTTTTTTATTGGCACAGTTTTTTTTCTTCTTTTCTTTTTTGTTTCTAATTTATTGTTTGTCAAAAATATGTACATGTATATAAAATCGGTATTCAAAAATACAGTCACCGAGTTATGAACATCTTACTTGCGAGATTTACGGAAGAATCCAAAGAAACCCGGCTTCCCTTTCTTCTGGTCCTTTTCAAGCTCCGAAGATTCCAAATCAGCGTTTCCTTTGACGATATCCTCTTTTTTGATACTTGGGAGAACGACAATGTGGACATAGATTCTTGTGATGTGGTCCTAAATCTGAAAACAAAAATTCAAAAAAATTCAATCATAATTTTATTGTCTCACTGATTTGTCGAGGTACTTGTCCAGCTTCTCCGAGCGATCCAAAGTTATTCTATTGACAAGACGGTCATAAATAGGGATTGTGTGAGCACCAACACTCCTTTTGATGTAGTCCACCTCGTTTTTGTACATCTCCATCAAAAGTGGTGTATTCTTCCAAGCCATGGCAAACTTGCACATTTTGTAGAAACCACAGCTGCGTTCATAAACAAACTTTGACCCCTTCAAGACATGTGCCACGAAAAAATTCTCCGGATCCGGCGTCTTTAGAGTATTTGAGACTTTAGCTTCGATGAACTTTTCGAATTCTTCAATAACTCCTCGAACAATTGGGTTGGTCTAAAAACGAAATGTTGTTATTGAAAAAATGAAGTTGGTCGTTTTATAAATGTTAACGGTTGGAAAACTTACATATTTGAGAAATTCCCTTTTCTCTCCACCGGTAATATTAATAAGTTCCCGGCAATGGTCATAGTACCACGCATCAATGTGACAATTGCTGATTCTCCATAAATATGGCACCAAGGTTTCATTTATCTGACAGTCTGCAGATCGACAAATAACGCCAATCATTTCGTCGAGAATTTTGGTTGAAATCAATTTTATGATATTGATTTTCTCGATTTTTAAGCGTGCTGCTGCTTTTTCCTTATCCATCTATAAAAACTTCGGGGTTTTTGGGGTGTTATATTTTTGCTCAATTGTCTGGATTTCTAGATGAGATATCCTAAATGTGTCTACTGATAAAATGATTCTGATCTTATGACAAGCACTTTATCAGTTAACAGATTTCTGTTATCTCTTATAGTAAATGAGATAATTAAAGTGCTAGAATAGGACGGGTTTCAATAAGAGTGCTTACGGCATATGCTGTAAAAAAAACAAAAATAAACAAACAGGAGAACAGGAAAATGTCAGATATTGAAAAAAAAATAATTCATTTCTATTCTGACTCATTTTAGAACCCCGGGATACATACGAAATGACTAAACGCAGCGGACCGTCTCGCACAGATTTCTGGAAGACTGTCATAATGTCTGTGTCTCAATGATTATGCACAAATTGATTTAATGTGTTGCCCGGATTGGTAAACTTTTAAGATACTACAGCTAGAGATGTTTGGAAAATTGAGACATTTTAGAGGAATTTTTCTAATTTTCAGCGGTTGATTATAACGCATAGAATTGAGAAGCTCACAGAAATTTGAAAAAAAAACTGAAAAGCGATGAAACAAACTATGAGCGCCATTCAATGAAATCCTGAAATCAAAATGAGTCATTCTTAAATCAAAATAATACATTGAATACAAGCAGAATTAAACCCAAAAATTCCGAATGAAATGATTTCACCGAACAATATTTCGAACGAATGATTCCGTGTCTGTTCTGACTCAGTGTAAGCCCGCCTGGGGTACATATGAAGGGGTCCTACGCAACCAACCGACCCGCAGAGATTTCTGGGAGACTGTTAGCATATCTGTGTCTCTCATCAATTATGATCCTTTTGTTTTTGCTGACGCATAGTCAGCATAATGTCGATATCATATGAAATTTCGTAATAAAATTTGGGAAACAAATTGATTTTAAGTTGAAAAAGACAGGACAGAAAAAAGTTTGGAAGATAGTTCAGCGGGTAAAATCTCATCGTCATAAAGTTGGTCATCGGTATCTCAGTCGGTAACCACGGCACTTCTGACATTCTGTCCACGAGTTCGAGTCCTCAAGTTGCGCTGTTAGGTTCAATTTAAATGAAGCTTTTTTCGGATGACATATCATTTTCTAACTTTAATTATCTTTTCAAAATCATATAATCTTGTTTATTGCGATCAATTTTGCAGATACCGGTCATACAATGAAATAAACGAAAACGTATTTTTAGTTGTACTTTTCCATTTTCAGGAGTTTGAAGCTTGGCTTTCAAGTTTCGAGTCACTTCGAAATTTCTGAATGATGTAAACAGACCTAAAAATGAAGTTTTGCTTTTTTTACAGAATTTTTAATCGTTTATAGTTTTCAGCTAATTGCCGATTTCTACGAGACACGTTTTTTTTCATGTTCACGACACGAGCATGTCATTTTTGCACAAGGTTGAATTCCCATATAAACGTTTTTACTGCATATTACTTCAGATATCAAAAAAATCGTCATTCTCAAAATTTCAAAAAATTCGAAATTTTCAGTAAAACAAAAACATAAAAATAGGGTCATCCTGAAAATTGAAAACTTATGGATATTTTCAGTACAGCGAAATAGGTTATCATGTTATAACTTTTTTATTGAAGATTAGCAATAATTTTCTGTAAATGTATGGCAATTTAAATTACATTAATTGACACGATCTCGATTAATTAAAAATGGCGTGTCTTCTTTCGCAACTCGTTTGAAAGTAATCGACTTAAGTTTGGCATTCCGTGTATGTTCAGGAGTGTTCAATACAATATGCATATAATCATCTGTGTTTGCAATTCGGAAGTACCAAACTTTTTTCACATCTGAAAAGTTACGGTGGGGCTCTCCGATCAGCATATATAAATATTCGTCAATTGTCGACTCTCGGAACGATAATTCAAATTTTTGGAACTTCGAAGAATTGAGAAGATACTGAAAAGAAAAAGCGAATGATTTTTTTAACTGTAGAACAACTCACTGTTTTCAAATAAGCCACCTCTTCAGAAGATATGGTCTTCACTTGAATTTCCAAATTAGTGAAATGCAAAATATTCATTTCTGGAATTTGCGTCGTTATAGTCAAATAATTGGAGATCAAATGTTCCGCATTATTCCATTGAGTTGTTTTTGATAATTGACCAATTTGAAATGGCAATTCTACAACACTTTGATAGTCGCATTTTGACGGGTACAAAAATTCAATAATCTTCTGAGAATATGTATCAATGGCTGTGAGAATGTTCATTACTTCCATCTGACTCCACGATCCCATTGAGAATTTTCTAGTTTTGAGTGGTTCTTCTAGAAAAATTCTTCTAGAAAAACCATCAGTATCGAGAAGATTTTCGGGTTGCAGGGTGAACAAATTTGTATTTTCGATAACAAAAAAAAGGGTATTTTCGATATCATTAAAAAACGCGACTTTGTGGTCTGTTCCAGGGAATGAAACAATTTTTTTGTTCCAGGGAATTGGAATTTTTTAGAAAGGCACACTTCATTTTGGAACGTGCTATATTCGACATATTTGAATTCGCCATGTTCTAACTCAACAAATGTGCGAATAATGTCATAGCGATAAAAATAACCGCGATCGAAACAAATGGAGTACCTTGCAATATGGGGATTTGGTTTTATGAGAGCAACACACTCTCGGATCCCACGATTCACTTTTCGAAGATTCTCGCTGCAAAAACAGTTTTTACATTTTTAATCCGAAAAAAGGAGAAAATTTGCCTCTATCTGACGAGGGAGGTATTTCAAGTGTCATGTCGCATCTTTTTAGTTGTTGGTTGAATTTTATTTTTCCTGGACTAGCACTAAACGGATAATATAAGGAGCCCATGCGCCGGTAAAGCTGAATGACAAAACTTTTTTTTTGTTTTTTTTTCAGAAAAAAAGTGGGATAAGTCCATTTAAAAAATCATAACTTTGTACAGTTAAAAGATAAAATTATGAACTGACATGTATTTTGTGAAACAGATCAAAAGCTAGAAACGATTTAAAACACATTCTCTGTAGTTTTCGAGCATCGGCCCATTGTCATACAGTGGCGAAAATTAGTGAGTGTCATTTTATATTTTTGTTCAAAACTTTGCGCAAACTAGTCTAATAATCGAACATTTTTTGTTGAATGTAGCTGAACGTTATATACCTAAGTTTTTTGAAACTCAATCAATTTTTGTGTCTTCTGAATTTTCACAGACGTGACGATGATTCCAGAAGAAAAAAAATTTCCTTCAAAATTTTTTAAAAGACCAGCGATATCTATTTTAACCCTAAACACACAATAAAGAGTTGTAGATTCTGCAGAAATTAATCTCTTGTCTCTGGCTTGAGCGCCAAAATTAGAGAGAGAGCCGTCGAAAAAGTACTTTTTTCAGCCATTTTTTAGTCAAAAGTTGCAATTTTGAAGGTTCGACCACTTCGAGCAGTGGTGACCAGCGATATCTATTTTATCCCTAATCACACAATAAAGAGTTGTAGTTTCTGCAGAAATTAATCTCTTGTCTCTGGCTTGAGCGCCAAAATTAGAGAGAGAGCCGTCGAAAAAGTACTTTTTCAGCCATTTTTTAGTCAAAAGTTGCAATTTTGAAGGTTCGACCACTTCGAGCAGTGGTGACCAGCGATATCTATTTTATCCCTAATCACACAATAAAGAGTTGTAGTTTCTGCAGAAATTAATCTCTTGTCTCTGGCTTGAGCGCCAAAATTAGAGAGAGAGCCGTCGAAAAAGTACTTTTTCAGCCATTTTTTAGTCAAAAGTTGCAATTTTGAAGGTTCGACCACTTCGAGCAGTGGTGACCAGCGATATCTATTTTATCCCTAATCACACAATAAAGAGTTGTAGTTTCTGCAGAAATTAATCTCTTGTCTCTGGCTTGAGCGCCAAAATTAGAGAGAGCCGTCGAAAAAGTACTATTTTTAGCCAATTTTTAGTCAAATGTTACATTTTTGAAGGTTCGACCACTTCGAGCAGTGGTGACCAGCGATATCTATATGTTGTCTCTAATCACGCAATAAAGAGTTGTAGTTTCTGCAGAAATTAATCTCTTGTCTCTGGCTTGAGCGCCAAAATTAGAGTGAGCCGTCGAAAAAGTACTATTTTCAGTCATTTTTTAGTCAAAAGTTGCATTTTTGAAGGTTCGACCACTTCGAGCAGTGGTGACCAGCGATATCTATTTTATCCCTAATCACACAATCAAGAGTCGTAGATTCTGCATAAAACAATCCCTAAAACATCTCGAACCCGTGTCGAAAGGATACACTGGTGGGGACCACTTTTTAGCGTGCCTTACAATATTGAAGATAATGTTTATTTATATAAATTTATTCAGTTAACGAAGTTATTAAAAAAATATAATTAAAAAATGGAGGTTGAATCGGCATCTCTTCATTCGCCTCTTAATCTTCTTCTATTGGATCAGGCAGATTCCGATTCCTCAACTGGAGTGTAGCCGGTCCTGGACCATGGAGAACATGTACATCCTGGTCCATTTGTTCCATTGGATCCGCTTTCTGATCTCTCTGGGAGAAGCGATCTGAAATTGTATCATTATTATAATAAATAAATGGAGGTGCGTCTCTTTTGATTGTTTGTTTGTAACTTTGTCTACACATTTTTGATAAGATTGAAAATTAATAGAAATTGACGTGACCCTTTAAAAAAGAGACAGGAGCGAAGCGACGAACAGTAACATAAATAAGTCAAATCGCGCCAAAGGCGCACCAGCCAGCTGTTTGGCGCGGCAAACAGGCTGGTTATTTTAGAAAAAAAGCAAATTATTAGAGGTAGAAATGAGAGATTTTCAATTTAGCTTTCGAAGAAAAACAGTGTGTTTATTTAGTTTTTAGTTTTTGCAAAAAAAACCTTTTCATTCAAAAAAAACACTCACCCCATATCCAGGTTGCCAAGCTTCCAGGTGGTCGTTCTTTTGTTGCTTTTTCATATGTGCTTTGACCAAATCGGGGATCCTGAAATGAATTTGGTTCACAATTGGACTCAATGATGTGGGTAGATGACCATATTTTAGTCCTATATAACGAAATCTGGGTTCACAAAGTGATGAGGTTCCATTTTCAATTAATTCAAATCATTGATTAAGAAAATTACGCTCTCACAAATGAATTCACGGACCTTTGAACGAATTATGGACCCGAGAAAAGATTCCCGGTCATATACTTTGTACAGTATACTACTTAAAAATGGAAAAACAACTAATTTTTCAGTTTAATGTCCCACCGATACATATTCATTTTCGGTATTATTTCAAAACATCAAAACTACTGAAGAAGTATGTTCTCACCTTTAAATTTTTACAGCAACTCGAAGAGAAGTAGAGAAAATAGTCAGAAAAAATAAAGATTACTCTTTCCAAATCCATTCACTGCAGGATTTTTGGAAACAGTAAGAATATTCAGAAAAATAAAGTGTTCTTCCAGAACCCATTCAGAAGGGTTCATAGGAAGAACACAAGGTATGGTGGTACATACACACTGTGCCAGAAGATGACAAATGCCAAAAATGAGAAGAACTGAGAGAGATGACGGAGTGGGCGTGGGTAACGTTCCGTCTGTCAACGTTTTCACTGTTTACGTTCTGTCTTCGAAACGAGTAGACAGGCTAGGTGTGTCTCTCGTTTGGGAAAATATAACAGCAGAAGAAGAGACAATGATCTGCGTCTCCATGGATTTTACTGTACTCTTGCATCACCAAAGAGGCTAAGTTTTTGAATGTTCAAAGTAACGAGCAGAATGGCGAGGAGAGGGAGATATGAAACGGAAGGGTGCAGTTACGTTATATGATATTCAAGTGAACGGGCTGGGGGAGCAAGAGAATCGATAGAAAAATGAAGAAATCTAAGTTCTTGATTAAACAAATTTGTGTTAGTTAAAAGAACATGTCGCAGAAGAGAATGTCGCAGAAGAAGACTGAAGTCGTGTGACGCTTTAAAGGAGGCCAGACACCAAAAAAAAAATTTTCCTGATTTTTTGCATAGAGAACCCCCATGAGGGGTTGAACTCATGACAGGCAGCTCAGGGGTACAGCGCCGCTACCGGCTGAGCTACGGGGGCGCGAAGGCGCCTGACTACCGATGGTCTACATAAGCGCGGCGCGATTTCGTCCCCCGAACTGCCCCCGAAATTTTTGCTGTCTCGCCTCCTTTAATGCACTTTTTTATCACAATAATAACCCCAACGGGTTTTCTAAATAATCAAAGGATCACAGAAGCCACACATTTTCGAAGATACCGTTGTCCTCCAGAAATAGGAAAATAGCTGAAAACTAGGAGTTTCAAAAAATTTTGTAAATGCAAATTTTTAAATTTAGTTCTCTTCAATAAACTTTTCAAACTATCAAAGTGATTGAATACTTGAAATTCGAGCTCCAGACTATTGAAATGGCCAAAATCAACTTTGAAAAACGTTTTTTCATCTATTTAAGGTCAATACATTGATTTGAGCTTATTGTTTTTCATTAGTGCTCCTATGTTTCCCCTGTACTCTGACATTCCCAAAAAGAGCAGCATATTTGAAAAATCAAAGATAAATTTGAAATATATTTCATCAATCTGAAATTTTCCAACAATTTTTTATTAATTTTCTAGCTGAAAAACCTTCAGCTCAAATTAATGTATTAGGTTGGCGGGAAAGTCTTTGTCACTTTTTCAATAGTTTATTTCTCAAAGAAAAAATAACCGAATAATTAATTATATTGTCCATCATTATCAACAACATGTCTCCAACGTTCCCTCAATTTATGGATTCCATTGCGGTAGAATCCAGCCGGGCGTGAGGCAAAGTATTGTTTGAGTGCCGCTTCGACCGCTCCACGGGAATTGAAGCTTCTTCCTTCGAAGGCACGTGTCATATCGCCAAATAACCAATAGTCGGAAGGAGCAAGATCAGGAGAATACGGGGGGTGAGGGAGAACATTCCATCCATATCCCATCAGCTCCTGCTTCACTTGTTTCGAAACATGTGGGCGAGCGTTATCATGTTGATAGTACACTTTCTTGTCTTTCAGGGCCGAACGGTCGACTGCTTTCTTGAGGTTTCGTAGTTGAGTAGTGTAGAGGTCTCCAGTTATTGTTTTGCCCTCGGGCAGAAGTTCCCAGTAGATGGGGCCGTCCACTCCCCACCACACAGAGAGCATAACTTTTTTCGGATGAAGGTCGGGTTTGGGGACATCCTGTGGGCTCTCTCCTTCTCCAACCCACTGGGATTTCCTGTGGTGATTATCGTAGAAGACCCACTTCTCATCTCCGGTTATTAGCCGGTCCAGCCATCGATCGCCCGCGTGGAGAGTGAGAAGAGTAATCGAATCGTCGACTCGGCGGTCAAGGTTGGCTTGAGTCAGGTGATGAGGTATGAATCGACCAAAAAGTTTTCTCATTCCAAGAGACTTCAAACCTTCAAGGACTGTGCTATGGTGAACTCCGAATGTGACAGCTAGTTCACGGCTAGATTGAAATGGATCCGATTGCAATGCGTGCTTCAGCTTGTTGTAGTGAGGGGCATGTGTGTTGTACACATTCTTCAAGAAAGTTTCCGAATCCTTCATCGTGGTGTGAGATAGGAAGAGGTAAATCAAAACATGTCTGATGTGAATAGCAGTGGGAACAAACATATCGTTTCAATTACAGATGAGGAGCAGGGAAGGAAATGGGGACTTGTTTATATGGAAGGTTCTTATCACCTTGTTATTCACTAGAGTCGATATCATACACAGCCTCCATATACGAGAACAGTGATTAAACAAACAGAGTGACAAAGACTTTCCCGCCAACCTAATACCTGCCAAATTATTTTTTCTTTGTAACCCTTTGATAATTTAGAGTTTTGATGAAAATGATTTTTGCATCATTTCCGTATTCTTCTAAAATATTTTCTTGTTAATTAACACAAACATTTTCATTAAACAATCAAGTTTATTTTTCATTTTTCGGTCGATCTCCTTTCTCCCTTATCTGGATGAGTTTAGATTTTCAAGTCATTTTTATTTTCGACCTCCCCCCCCCCCCCCTCATTTGTTATGTTTGCTCTATCTCATTACAACTATCATCAGACAGGTGTTATGATGACCTATTGCCCTTTAGTGGGTACTTGTTTAAAGTCAAAGTGGAACTTAATCACCTTTTATTGCGGTCATAAGAGGTCATACCAACAAAAGTGGACTAATGACGGTAATAATCGCACTAAAAACGATGATGTAAGTGAGCTGTATCTCACAATCTTGTGGGAAAACAGGTGTCAACCCAATCCGACCAATCTACAAAGTGATAATTCCACTCTGAAAAAAGTACCATTTTGGAGGTTTTAAAGCTCTCCGGTCACTGTTTGAAGGCCCGGATTTTGAGAATTTTAATATTCTGGTATCCATACACAGAGATATAATAGTCGCTGTGTATGGGGGTCAGAGTATAAAATTCTTAAACACCAGGCTTTCAAAAAGTGGCCCCAGAGTTCCAGAACCTCCAAAATCTCATTTTTTCAGAGTGAAATTATCATTTTGTGGTTCGGCCAAAGCGTGCTTTTTGGAATTTTTCCAGTTTCTCGTTCCCTGAACTCAACCTTCCTAAAACTGGGAATTTTTTTTCAAAGTTTTCTATGAAGTTTCGTTTACCGGAAAATGTTTATTTATGTGAAATTATTTGTACTGGTTACTACGAAACATTCAGGTCCTATATAGCTGAAGACACAAATATCTGATTCAGCAACAGTCAAAGTGATACTAACTTATCGCTTAAATGATTTTTTTCTAGACCTGATTTTTCTCCATTGTTCTCTCTGTGTATGGGGGTCAGAATCGATGTGTATGGGGGTCAGGTCTCTGTGTATGGGAGTCAGAATAGCAAAATTCTTGAATCCGGGCCTTCAAAAAGTGGCCAGAGAGCTTCAAACCTCCAAAATCTCATTTTTTTTCAGAGTGGAATCATCATTTTGTAGATTGGTCGGATCGGGTTGACACCTGTTTTCCCACAGGATTGTGAGATACAGCCCACTTACATCATCGTTTTTAGTGCGATTATTACCGTCATTAGCCCACTTTTGTTGGTATGACCTCTTCTGAACGCAATAAAAGGTAATTAAGTTCCACTTTGACTTTAAACAATTACCCACTAAAAGACAACAGGCCATCATGACGTTTATCTGATGGTAGTTGTAATGAGAAAAAGCAACAATGACAAAGATGGAAGGTAGAAAAAATGATGACTCTAAAATCTAGACTTCGACAGAAAAATGAAGAATTAATTACAAGAAAAGATTTTAGATGAATACCAAAGTCCTGTGATGCTTTAATGCTTTTTGAAAATAATGCGAAATCAACTTTTGCCAACATTATCTTCCCAACAGGATCTCAGAACTGATCTCGAATGGTCGGTGGCAGGGAGTTCAATGCAGACTCTTATCAGTAGGAACGGCGGAAAATTGAAACTTCTAGAAACGGTTTGACGTCATTAAAGACAATAGCGTACGAGCATGACACTCTGATGGACAAGAAACTCTCGGAAAGATGATATGGTTTTCAATTTATTTATTCGGAAAAAAAATGAATAAGAAAATTATTCTGCTTCCTCTCCATTGGCGACTCTCGAAGTTTTGGCTGCTGGCTCTCCATCCTCTTTTCCAACTGGCTCAAAAACTCGGCGAGCAATTGCTCCTTCCTTCTGTCCCACTCCTTCTTTGCAGCTTCCAGGGCTCTCCAACTTTCTCTTGAAAATAGAAAAAGTCAACAGCAATTATTTTCATTATACACTCACTAAAATGGTACGCCTTCTTGAATGCGTTGAAGAGGTCAGATGCACTAACCGCCCTCATGGCAACTTTCTGGGGGAGCTCCTCTGGCTTCTTTGGGTCGAAGAGATTTTTCAATTTATCTGTAATAGAAGTACATTTTTCGAAAGAAATTAAAATCATTGACTCACTGAACATGGGATCCTTGTAGATCGTGCAATTCTCATAATGCGCCATTGCCTCCTTCCATTTGGATTGGAATTCGGGGGATCCTGGGAAAAAATTCACAGTAATACTTTGTACGATATACTACTTAAAAATGAAAAAAAACTGATTTTTCTAACAGTTTAATGTCCCACCGATACTTATTCATTTTGGTATATTTCCAAAACATTAAAAAAATTATTGAAGAAGTTTGTTCTCACCTTTAACTTTTTATTACAGCTCGAAGAGCAAGAAATAAATATTCAGAAAAATAAAAGTCAATTACTCTTCCTGAATCCATTCACTGCAGGGTTCTGGGAAGAGTAAGAATAATAGATGATCAGAAAAATAAAGTTTCTTCCAGAACCCATTCAAAAGGGTTCATAGGAAGAACACTAGGGCACATACACACTGTGCCAATAGTAACCAAATGACAAAAATGGGAGAAGCGAAGAGAGACGGCGGTGGGGGGCGTGGCTAACGATCTTTCTGTCTACGTTCTCTCTGTTTACGTTCTGTCTTCGTAACGAGTAGACAAGCCAGGTGTGTCCCTCTTCTGGGAAGACATAACAGCAGAAGAAGAGACAATGATCTGCGTCTCCATGGATTTCACTGTACTCTGGCATCACCAAAGAGGCTATGTTTTTGAATGTTCTAAGTAACGAGCAGAATGGCGAGGAGAGGGAGACATGCAACCGAAGGGTACAGTGACGTCATATGATATTCAAATGAACAGGCTGGGGGAGAAAGAAAATCGATATGAATATGTAGGAAATCTTCATTCTTTGAATCATCAAAAGAATACACAAAACAAACAATTTGAAGGGTACATTTTGATAAAAATTGATTTAATTCCTTGATCTTGGTTGACATCACCAGAACCATCTTCGCTTCCTCCAGAACTTTCTGGAAAATTGTTTTAAATAATTTTCAAAACATTTTGCTAATTCATACCTGGATCCTCTGCAGATTGCTCTCCTTCTTTAACGTCGATTTCCACCTCTTGTTGATCATCATATCCATTGTGAGTATTTAGAGCTTCCAAGCTATCGCGAGCTTGTTCGGAGGGGCCTGCTTGATCCTCGTCATCATGATCATTAATGTCTTCAGCAACCATCTCGTGCTCTGGCAGATGCTCGCCTTCTTCCTGTTCCACCTCTTCTTGCACGCCATTGGTAGCTGAGGTGGAAGACGTCAGAACAGAACTGTAATTTGAAGAATTTGGCAATCTTATTCAATCTAAAGAATCCCGTTGTATCTCAATTAAAGCCTTTTTTCGTAAACTTGTCATGATGTTATTTCCTAAATTTCAAGAAAAAAAAAATTACGATTGTCTTCGAATCAGTTTCGGATGTACTGCCGACAGGACCACTTCATAAAACTCCTCCGCACGCTCCAGATCATCCTTTGACATGGGAAGTTGGTCGTAGGGCTCGCGTTCTAAGAAGTAATGAGGTGCAGGATACCCTTGCTGAAATTAAGAGAAACATTTTTGATCTGTTATCTTTACTTTTAAAAATCATCAAATTCTGTGTGTGAGTGAGTTTGTCCGTTTGTTCCCGGGTCGCCGACCTTAGCGAAGTCACTGATGGACCAAAAATTTACAAATTTTCACAGATAACGCGAAATAGCAGCGAGATGATGCCGGACTTTTTTTATTCAGAAAAAAAAACTTGTCTAACATTTTTCAAATACATATCTTCCTATTTTAGTTATTTAAAGTTAAAGAATTACCTTTCTCGAGTCTGCAATAGACCAAAGATTTTCCAACTCCTCAGTGTCCGCCAGTGGTGTATCCTCGAGCAGCCTCGCGGTCATTTCTTGCAGTATCAATTGTCCCACGTTGTTAGTGTATTGCGGAAGAGCCCTGATGATTTCTGTGGGGGTGTCCGGTACGTGTAAGGGTTGTTGAGGAGCAGCGGTAGGTTGTCCGGAGGGGATTTGCTGGTGGGTGGACGACGTTGATGACGATGTTGATGGAAGGCATTGATCTTCATGAGTTGATGGTTGCGGTTGCTGAGGAGCCGGTGGAGAGATGACTGCTTCTTGCGATATATCTTCTTCCTCCTCGTCGTCATGTCCATCAACGTCGACCTCCAGATGAACATGTTCCGATCCGAATGAACTTTGGTGATTCTCATCAACATTTCCACGGTCAAGAGCTTCTTCTGGAACACCTCCTGTCACTTCATTCTGATTCGCTTCGCTGTTTCTAGATACTTTTGTAGCTTCCGAATTAAGAGTGCGTGCAAGACTGAAAGCTGCTTCTGGAGCATCCCGAACTCCTTGATCTTGGTTGACCTCTCCAGAACCATTTTCGCTTCCTCCAGAAGTTTCTGTAAAACGTTTTAAAAATAATTTTCACAACATTTTCCTAATTCATACCTTCTAGCATCCCAACATAGCTCTGAATCAGTTCTGTGGCATCTGAATCAATTTTTTGGCATTCCTCTTCTTCTCTTTCAACTAATCCTTGTGGAATCTGCTCCCGTTCTCTAATGGCCTCGACGTTTTCTCCGCTGACAAAATTGGATGGTTCAGCTTGCCCATCATCATGTGGATTCAAATTGTTAGCCGCTGGTGTTTCCATGTCATCGCTAGTTCGTTCGGAGGTGCTCGCTTCTCCGAACATCACTTCTTCCTCTTCGTGCTCCAAGTCCATTAAATTTTCATCAAAATCTGGTTCACAAGGTGTTGAGGCTCCCTAATTGTTTTTGGTATGTTTTCAAAAAATTAACACTATTTAAAAAGTTTGTACTTACCTTTAACTTCTTACAGCGACTCGAAGAGTATTAGAAACACTATTCAGAAAAATACTAGAATTTGGAGGCACATAACACACTGCGCCAGGAATAACAAAAAAAAAAGATATTCAGAAAAATAAAGTGTTCTTCCAGAACCCATTCAAAAGGGTTCATAGGAAAAACACCAGAATATGGAGGCACATACACACTGTGCCAGAAGATGACAAATGCCAAAAATGAGAAGAACTGAGAGAGATGGCGGAGTGGGCGTGACTAACGTTCCGTCTGTCTACGTTCTCTCTGTATACGTTCTGTCTACGTAACACTCTGCGTCTCCATAGATTTCACTGTACTCTCACATCCCCAAAGAGGGGGTATATTCAAAAGATCGAAGAAAAGAGCACAACGGGGAGTTGAAGGGGACACCCAAAAGAAGGATACAACAGTGTTCATGCATTCAATTCGTTTGAGTTCTCTTAGGCGCGTTGCGACTCGCGACGCGTTCACTGCGTAGCAACGGTAAGAGGATACGCAGAGTGCGAATGTTTTTCTTGGAAAAATCATGACTTGGCGTGGTGCCAGCACCTTTATCCTTTATAGTTTGTATGTTTTTGAATGATTAAAATAACGAGCAGAATGGGGAAGAGAGAGAGAAGCATCCAACAGAAGACTGCAATGACGTTGTATGATATTCAAATGAACGGGCTGGGAAAAAAAATTCACAGAAAAATGGAGAAAATCTTCATTCTTCAATGAAGAAGTTTCTGTTAAAAGAAGCTTTCAAATTTGAAAAGAGATTTTTTTTGAAAGTGGGCCGGGTGGGAGAAAAATTGAGACATTTTCGGTCCGCGGGCCGGCCCTCTTTTCAAAAATGTTGAAATTCTAAAGCGAATCATCATTTTTCGAGATGGATTTTATTCTTAATAAAAGAAAATCCACACTAGAGGCCTACACACTAGAGGCCGAAAAAAACTGGTTTGGGGTCGCAGTTAGCAAAAAGTTTCATTCTTGGCAAAATGAAATTTAATTTCTTTTGGCTAAAAATTGAATTCAATTGAATTTTTTCGAATGGTTGTATGTATTCGAATGAATATTCGTTTTATAACGATTATTAAAATTTATATTGGGCGGGCTGGCCCGTGGGTCGGCCAGCGGGCCGCGCCGAGTCGGGCCGAGGGTGTTAAAGCAAGCGGGCCACGACCATCCACATGTATGCACTGAACAGTTAAGTTGAAAATACAAAATCGAAAGAAACTTATACATGAACCTGATAGATTTTATGATTTGTTTTCTGAAGGACGCCCGTCCCCGGAAATTATATAACCAGTCACATATGTATTTGTGGTTCAATGAAAAAAGTGTTGAGATATATTTTGTTTAAAAGTGTTTTATTGCGTTAAGCGTCTTCCCATAATTACTTGTCACCATGTACCATTTTCAGTACCACAAATCTTTTTATCAGCGCAGAACTTCGATTTTCGAAGTCACTTTTCTCAATTTTTAGGACGTTTGAAAACATAAATGTGTTGTATTACACTAAGAATTGAATTTATAATTATTTATTTATAAAAATTTCTGAAAATAAGGTGAAGTCTGCTGTGCAACTTTTCTCTTTTTGACCATCTCTTCGCGGCTGACCTGTTGCAACTTTCTCGTCAACTCGGGCACCTTCGATGACGTGCTGGGCATCTCATCATCCATCATCCCATTATCGGACCGACTTCCAAAGTGGTTTTGCATTCCCCATGAGCCTTGCGGAGATCGTTTAATTCTCCTTCAAACTATCCTTAGGTTTGGATCCTTCTCTTGGTGTCTTCTCGGTGTCCTCAATTTTTTTCAACAAGTCTGTTTTGTGACCTTGTCAAATTCCTTGCTCAATCGTGAGCTGAGTCTGTAGCTCAACTATTTTAGCCGGCTCCGGTTCCTGCTCCCTCTTTCTAGCTCGACCAATAATCCATCTACAACCACCGAGATATCCTTTTGAAAGAGCAAATCGGTGGGGTGTGGCTCAGTCTGGGTGCTGGTGGCTGAAAAACGAATTTTTTTAAAACTGGATTAGATCATACTGAAACTGATATAACTCGGCAGAAACTGACAAACTGATTTTAAAAATTCAAATATGTGTCTGAATATTCTATTTTTGACCTATCTAGAAAATTTCATTAAAATGTTTTATAAAAAGTTTTCAAAATCCGAATTAAATATATAGCCCACGGTAAATATATATAGCCCACGGTAAACCCAAATATATAGCCCACGGTAAAAGTTTTCAAAATCCGAATTATTTTTATAAAAAGTTTTCAAAATCCGAATCAAACTTGAAAAAAGCTAAAATTGCACTGACTGTAAAGTGAAAAATTCAGATATTATTCAGATGTTTTGAATTTCATTCTGAAAATGCAACAAAAAATTGTATACCACATCACGCTCTCCCGAAGGTTTCCAAACTGCAAATTTATTTTTGACCTTTCTCGAAAAAATTTGATGTGAAGCACGATTTCAGGTCGAAAGCATATTTTCAGTATTTTTAATAATATGTAACTTTGTGGACGTTCAAGATGATTGAAATGATTTTTTAATAATTTATTCGTGGTTATAGAATCCTGTACAACGTTTTTCCGGGAGAAAATATTCCCAAAATTATCAATTTTCAAGGTTTGATACAGAAAAACATATCTCCTCTTTTGGTTTTAACACTTCTAAGAGTTTTATTTTATAGTAAAGGGCGATATTTTATTATTAATTCATTGATGAACTTCTGATTCATCTGATATAACTTTTGTTATAATCGAAAAATCTCACGAAATTGCACAAAATCGCATTTTGCGGTGTTTTCTGATTTTAAAAAAAGTTCTATCAGATGAATCAAAAGTTCATCCATGAGGAGATACATTTTTTCAAGGAAATACATTTTTCTGTATCAAACCTTGAAAATTTGACATTTTTGGAATATATTTTTCTGTATCATACCTTGAACATTTGACATTTTTGGAATATTTTTTTAGAAAAGAACCATAGAAGATTAACCACTAATAAGTTTTCAATCAATCATTATAATTCTATTGAACCTCGTACTCCTACAGAAGAGTTTTGAACTGCAATATTATTTTTGATCTACCAGAAAAATTTCGTTGTGGCAGGTCTGGAGCAAAATTTCAGAATTTTTTATCTGATTTCATGGAGATTCAAGATGATTCAAATGATTTTTGAAAAATTAATAAGTGGATATAAAATCCTGTATAGTCCTTTTCCGGAAAAAATATTCCAAAAAAGAAATACTTGTAATCCGGGCCTTTTCCGGGCCTTCGCGGGCCCTGGCATACTTTTCCTCCGAGTCAATATTTTTAGACTAATAAAATTTGATGTGATAGAATTCGACAAGTACTACAAAATGATACTATTTGATAAACTGTATCTTGTCTATGAACAAAGTTACATGCCAACAAGTGGCTTTTCCCGGACGGCCCGGAAGGCCCAGGCAGTGCTTGCTTTTTTTCGTACTATTTTGTTTGTAACATGTTTATAAACAAGATACAGTTTATCGAATAGTATCATTTTGTAGTGCTCGTCGAGTTGTATCTAATTAAATTTAATTGGTCCAAAAATATTGACTCTGAGAGAAACTATGCCAGGGCCCGCTAAGGCCCGGAAAAGGCCCGGATTTCGCAAATGCCCGGAAAAGGCCCGGAAGTATGAAAAAAGACCAATTTCAAGAGTTTTTACAGAAAAAAAAGGGAACTCTTCTCTCAGTTTTTGAATTTTTTATAGAGGAACTCTGAAGCTCAAAAGAACAGCAAAATTTTGCTATTCAATTTGTATAGAAAACATTTTTGATTTACCTGGTTAAACTTTTTAAAGAATCAAAATACCTCCCGAAATAGCATTTTCATCATGTTTTTTTGTTACCAAAATAAGTTTAGCCAGGAAAATCAAAAATGTTTTTTTATACAAATTGAAGAGAAACATTTTGCGGTTCTTTCGAGCTTCAGAATTCCTATACATTTTTAAAACTGAACGGGAAGTTCTATGTTTTCTGTAAAAAATCTTGAAAATTGGCCTTTTTTGGAATATTTTCTTCCGGAAAAGAACCATACAGGATTCTAATTAATCAGAAATCACTAATCAATTTTTCAAAAATTATTTGAATCATCATGAATCTCTACGAAGTCAGATAAAAAATGCTGGAATTTCGCTCCAGACCTGAGGTAGATCAAAAATAATTTTGCAGTTCAAAACTCTTCTGTGAGAGAGCGTGCCTCCACAAAACAATATAAAAAACGCTGACAATATCCTTCAGACGGCAGTTGTGCTTCACACCAAATTTTTCATGGTGGATCAAAAATGAATTCGCAGTTCGGAAATCGTCTGTTTCCAATTTTCTGAACTTGCGAGATTCATCATTTCCAATTTATTCAAAATACCGAGCCAGACTTTTGCGTTCCGTTTTTTTAAATTATAAAAGTTACATTTAAGTTAGGAGTCATTTTTGAACAAAAAGTTGTTCAGTGTAATCCTCCAGATAATTTTTAGCCGCATAATCTGTAGAACACAACTACAACCCTGTCTTTTCTTTTGGCAATGAATTCCAATGAATTCATTTTTTATATTGAAACTTTTTTATTGCCGAAAATGGCGCCAAAGATGTTCATTTGCAAATTTCCAAGAATGAAGCACAACTTTTTGTAATTATTGAATTCGCTTTCTGGTTTTTCTTGTCTAACTTTTGTTGCTTTTCAAACTTTGTAATTGAACGAGTCATAACATAACATTCATTCACAGGTCAAAATAACATAAAACATTATTGTGGGCACTGCTTGATTTCTCTGCAAACATCTTCTGGAGCGGTCCCTGATTCCAACTCCTTGATGATTGGATCCAGTTCCGCGTGAGCATAGTCCAAACACGCCTGCTCTAAGAACGGAACTCCTACAAGCATCTTCTTGCACTCGGCGATGAACTTCTGGAATGAGAGCACAATCAATCAGAACCCTATGACTCAACCCACATCCTCGGATTTGTGTACCAAATTGTCAACTGGCGGGTCGGTGACATTCACTGCAAGTCTGCACATGAAGCAATCCAATGAGCTTGCTCTTTTTTCAGGGAGCACGAGAGCAGCGGCAAGGGCAACAAGGCCAACGAAGCAGAGAACAGCTTTCATCGCTAAAAGTTATATTTAGATTTGAGCAAAAATTCTAAACTTGATGAAATGTGGCTAATCAGTTGTGGTCAAAGAGTTGTGGAGGAAATGAATATATTCAATTTAGCGTCCTTTAAATTAGTTTTGGAAAATGAAAAAAGAGCGAAAACCGAGAATGTGAAAGATTCTGATTAAATACAGAAAATGTATTGGATACCTACCTTGAACTGCCAACAGTTCTTATATACCAAACCAAGATCCGTCTCACCACGGATGCAACCTTATCTAGCTCCACTTCCTGGTGACAGAAGTCTTTTCAGTGAGCATGGTCGATAATTCCAGGACACAGAGACGGAAATATTGTAGCCTACCTTCGCTATCACTTTGCTTGTTTTTAGAAGGGCATTTCCTGTTGTATTGAACAAAGTAGTACTTTTGTATCCCATGTCACTTTAGGAAGTGTGTCCTGTTTTTGAAGTTTTTGATCAAATAATTATCAGACATTTTTGCTAATGAGATGTTTTAACAGCATCTAAAGTTTAGCTTATGATTTCTTTTAATTTTTATTTTGTTTGAAGTATGACTTGAACACGGATTTGCTTTCTGATTTGACTCGAATAAATTTATTGAAAATATTATTTTTACAAAGTAGTTTTGAAAAAGTATCATAATTTCACCTTTTCAATCAAAAATGTTGACATTTAAAGTCCTGAAATGTGTTTCGAAACTGTTCAATTCAAAGGTTCTGAACATACCAAAAATGAACAAAACTTTTTTGGCTAACAAATTTTGATAAAATTCATTTTGATGAAATACGGCGATAAACGCTGAAAGTACCGTATTTAATCTCATAATATATGCACGCCAAAACCTTCAACTTTGGGCACATAATACGGAATGTACAACACTTTTAGGGTCATTGGGGTGCAAAGCAATTTGAGGGTTCAAAATTACATTGTACCTCGTTGTACGCCCAAATCGTTATACTGAAAGATATCAAAATTTTGTTAACTGATTAAGTATTGGTGATATTGTAATAAATCATGGGTCAGTTGAAATTTTCGGCTTTTTATGACAAGGGGGCCTATGAGAAAAGGGGGGGGCAAGCGAAAGGGGGGGGGGGCGGGCCAAGTCAAAAGGGGGGCCCATAGGTAAAAATGCGGACTAAGTTAAGATTTACCAATTTTTTCAAGTTTTGTGACCGTTTCCATTAAAATTTCGAACTTTGAACACTTTTCATAATTTTTTTTGAAAATTTCAGTTTATGTCATTTTTTGCATATTTATTGTCTATTTTTTTGTTACTAAGCCTGGAAAAATCTGAAACTAGCTGAATAACTTCAAATTACACAGTTACAATGGAAAAAATAGTGTTGTTTATGCAAAAAACCGGCCTAAACTGAAATTTTTAGAAGTGACAAACTTTTGTGGAAACAAGCGCAAAGTACTAAATTTTTATAGAAACTTTCAAAAACTAGAAAAAATTGGTGAATCGGGG